TAGTTGTTATTTAAGAATAAAAATAGGCAGTCATACGATTTACATTATATACATGAACATATTTGTAAGATGAGTTATACAAACCATATAATAATTACACAAAATACATACGGATAAAGCCGCGGCATTATTAATTATTCTAAAAATCGTTTCCTAATCAGAGCCTGACGCATAACAATCGTCATTGCCATATTGACTTATTTAATTGTAATATTGCTACATATATTTTATCTTTAAAAAATATTAATTAATTTCATTACGTTAATTTCATTTCATTCATTATATTATTTAATTTTCAATAATAATGTTCCTTTTTGTATGTTTTCCTTAATCTGTGCAAACTTTATTGGCTGGTGTATTATTTAATTGTGTAATTATCTTATTTGTTTTTAAAACTGTATGTTTACCTTAAATAAATAAATAGATCTAGTATTCTATAATTGATCCTATACTAAGAATCGCATAGGATAAGAAAAGCACTAATACAAAAACCAATGTTTGTATACCAAATTAATCCATGAATCTATGTTAAATGTGACTGCTTTAAGCGAAACAATTTGCCTTAAGTTTAACTTACATTTTAATAGACATAATAAATTAATATGTTAGTCTTCAGTAATGGTAAATAACGTTAATAGAAATGGTAGAGCGAACTTATGTTTGTTCTATATGTGACTTTATATTGCGTTTTTTTGCATTTCATTTTTCATACAATACGTTTTTTTTAAAAATACACACCATTATTAGCCACAATTACATCATAAAAGCTTCAATGTGGTGAATTAATCCCCCATTGTAGCTGCAGGGTAAATGGCCCATGTATTGGTGGTGATACAGTATCGTCCTTATATTATATAAGATGGCTAGTATATACGAGTATATATACAACCACATATGTACATTTGTAGGCTGCAATTTAAACAACATAACGGACTTACAGATTATTGATTCTTGTATGTGCAAGTATTAGGTAATCCTGCTAGTACATATTTAACTCACTGTCCTTTAATACGTAGGTATGTATGATAAGTGCAGGATAAACTTAGCAGCATGGTAAAGCTCAAATATCAGTAGAGACACTGATTCGCAGAGAAAGGGACTAGGAAAAGCTCTTAATATAAAAACGATACGGAAAACGGCTGACCCAAAGCCTAGTTCGTATGCGTCCCGTGTGTTGTCTTTGCTCAAACTAGTTTGCAGCGAATAATAAAATATCGAATATATATATACAGAGAGTAATATAACAGAAATAAATAAATAACAGAAATTAATTCTAATATATATATATATATATATATATATATATATATATATATATATATATATATATATATATGTATATATATATATATATATATATATATATATATATATATATATATATATATATATATATATATATATATATATATATATGTGTGTGTATATGTCAATTAAATGTCATGTTTGTGACACCCTAAGGACTAGAAGTATCATCATGAAATTGGTATACACGGTATATTTGGAATAAAGATGGAGGATAGAGGTTTCTTTTTATCTGGGTCAATCAAAGTATGCCGATCACACGAACGAAGTCACAAGTAAACACTAGTATTATATTTAACCAAAAGAAAATGTAGATAACATTTTGTCGTCTCTAACTGCCGATGCTATATCAACCTTTAAATTTTATATTATTATAACAAGCCCGGAAACTTTGAATAACAAGGTTAATGGCTGTTCGAGATTCAGTGACAGACAGTGTATATATTATCTATATAAATCGAGAAACGCTTTGTTTCTACATCGATAATTGATTGTTTTCCTACACGTATTTGAATGTGTAAGAAAACAATATGAATAAGCTAATATTTGAATTCAGCTCATTCTAATATATTCTTCGTTTTATGCTAGTTTTCAAAAGTCATTCTTTGGATCATTTTATTGGTTTTAAAATAAGAATAATTAAATTAATTATATATTTTGTTTTGCAGTCGATAAGATTTGGTTCTATATTAGTTTTGTTATATTTGAAGTCGCAGTATTTTTGCGAAACAAAATTTACTTGTTTACATCAACGCCTTTACTTTAGATGTCTTATAACAATCACGCATTCTTATTATGTGTTGGCTTTCTCCGGTGAACTGTTTGTTCTCGATCATATTTATTTACTAAATATTATTTACAAAATTATTCATAGAAAAAAAGAACATACACATATATCTCTCTTTCGTCCGTGTTCATTTATTTCTAAACAATTTATCATAAAAGAAAACATAGAAAACTCTTTATCAATCCCCAAGCTTTCCGTTTTTTTTTTCACAATAACAAATACCCGAAATACAATAACATAAGCCCTTAAACGAACTACGTAATATGCATATCGGTTGACAAACGACTACAATATATCGTGTTCTATTTTCGACATTATTGGCAGCGAAACCTTATAGCAACATTTACCTACGTAACGTCATACAATTTTATGGTTTATCGTTAGAAAGCCCATATATTCAATCATCCTGTAGTTCTCCTTACAAGAATTGACCACCATCTGTAAATACACAGAAATAATAAAATATGAATATAATTTATATCTTATTATATGCATTATTATTTTATCTATAGTCTGTAACAATTAATATAATGTTGTATGTAATGTATGTCGTAAAAATCGTTCACGTTTCATCATAACATACAAATTAAAACATATTAAGAAGTTATACATCGCTTGAAATTTCCTATAATCTCTTTATACTATGTAAAATTTATAAACAATAATATTGACATACTATTAAAAATAATAGTACATAAAATAATAATAATATTGCGTATTTTACATCTACATTTTTATCTGTTTGATTTTCAAAGTGTTATTTTAAAATTGTTTTCTAATTTCTAACCATGGAAAAACATAAAAAATTAATTATAGGAATTGTTTTACGTAGTGCATTATATATAGGTACAGAAATTTTCCATTTCGTAACGTTTCCATCTCTAATTGTCATATTGTTATGTATATATGTAAATATACCCATCAGCATAATATTTACATTAATTAATATTTTGACCTTTTTGTATATTAATATAAATACCACATACTTACTTACATCTACTAATTACACCATATATATTAAGTATCATCGGTCTCACAGTGTAAACGTTGGGACTCATGAAACATAACATTACTTTCTGATGACAATTGATACCATATTGTGTCAATTGTATGTTACTACTAATTAATGTATTTAAAAAATAGCAAAAGATTTCTAAATTCTATTTTTTTTTTCTTGCACTAAAGACAAAAAACAAAATCAGCGGAGTGCTATTCATTTATTGAATAACTGATTATAGTTTCCTGCAAAAAATAAAGGTCACAATACTTTAAGATTCTTAAACTTTAATGATATAAGATCAATATATAATGCACTGTTAATAAAATTAGTTACAACAGCAAATATATTATGCCACAAAATATGTAAACGTAATACACACATATGTCTAAATTAAATTTCGACTAATGTATATAGGTATACAAATTTTTACAGCTTATAGTGATGATGAAATGTTAATGTAATCATGTAGTATATTAAAAATAGTCTTTTATACTGTAATATTATTGACATTTATTACTCTAAAATATTAAGACAACATTAATATCTTTAATCGAATTATATAAATATGTAACGGGTGAACACGTTATTTATTGAAAATTGTATTACAACATATTACAACATTTAACAACAAAACAGTATTATATGATATCAGTAGGACACTCATCGCCCAACTACTCTCTCGTTCGTTAGTCGCGAACTTTCTCGAAGCGCGAGAGGCGCGCTCCTATTGGTCGGTCGCGCGGTTACCGCGCGACGCGCCTGCGCTGTACGTTTAGATGGGTCTCACGGCGTAGGTACTTACTATGCGTGCGTAATATATATACCTTTCGGTGTTACAGCCTCCCCCTCTAGTCCAAACAAGGCGCCCTTGCGTTTGGAGTAGCACCTGGACATTCGCATCAGATTTTTATGATTTACGTGGACGTCCCCTCCTGCGCTTTTCTTGCAGAGGCTGTTGCAATTGACCCACAAATGGAACCAATTGCGACGAATGGTACTTCCCTAATACCTCTCCGTTGCTCCGCTCTAAAAGGTAAGTCGAAATACTTAACACTTTGCCTATCTTATAAGGACCGTCGCGCCTAGGGATGAATTTGGGAGTCTGCCCTCGACCGGCGTCGTTTGGACCCTGAGTTTTTAGCAAGACTAGATCACCTACCTCATATGCAGGAGTAGCACGTCGAGCCCCATCGGCATACTTTTTGTAATATGCCTGCCTCTTTTCGTGTGTGTCTCTCGCATCCAGGAGGGCTGTAGATAGCCTCCTGAGATAGGGCGTAATATTCGGAATGAACCGGTCGTTGTCAGCGATAGCACGCATATCGTTGACAACATCGGCAGGGGCGCGCATTTCTCGCCCAAACATCAGCATGGCTGGCGAGTAGCCAGTGCTGTGAGTTACAGCTGAATTCATAGCGAATCTCACAGTAGTCAAGTGCAAATCCCACGTAGCGTGATCTTGACCCACGTGGATGGCAAGTTGCGGCTTTAAGTCGCGGTTCTTACGCTCGACTGGGTTCGCCTCGGGGTGATAATACGGAGTCAACGACTGTTCAATCTTGAAGACATGGCAAACCTGCTGCATGACCTCGCTAACAAACTGAACGCCATTGTCGCTGACCATCCTGCGAGGGACCCCAAACCTTAAAAATACCTCATCTATCAAGATTTTAGCACAATCCATGCTGGTGGCACTCTTTAGTGGAAACAGCTCTACCCAACGCGAACAGACATCTTCGACAATGAGTATCCATCGGTTTCCAGCATCCGTCTCCGGAAGGGGACCAAAAAGATCCACAGCAACCACCTCGAAACGTTGCGTTACAGCGGGTGACTGGATAAGTCCCGCTGGTTTACGAGTATCTACCTTGTATCGCTGACACGGTACACATTCTTTTACATATGCTGCAATATAAGCTCTCATACCTGGCCAATAATATCGCGATGCTACACGTTGGAGTGTACGTTCCACTCCCAGATGGCCCGCTGTCGGTGCATCGTGGTAATCGGCGAGGATCTTCTGTCTCTCACTGGCAGGTACCACTAAACAAGCGTCGTCGCTTTCATCAGTTTCAGGTCCGTACCTATATAATACACCGTCTGAAATAACATAACCACGGTCGGACCATTGTCTCCCCCTAAACGGTTCGTCTTCCGCTTCCAGATCTTCGAGGATTTTGCGAACGTCGGGGTCTTGCAGCTGCAATCTCCTATAATCGCGAGCATTTGTTGATGGTACGTCGACAACGACCTGACAAAGATCACAGTTCTCGGGACATGCCGGACGCGATAAGGTGTCAGCGAGGACGTTCGATTTACCTGGGGAATACGAAGGAATACAATACGAAGATTGAATTCTTGCAGAGTAAGCGCCCATCTGGTTAAACGTCCGCTCGGCGACTTAACACTCATCAGCCATTTTAACGGCTGATGATCTGACTTTACGATGACCTCGGCGCCTTCAATATACCCACGGAATTTCGTTACGGCCCATACTACAGCGAGAGCTTCCCTCTCGGTGGTTGTGTAATTACGTTCAGCCTGCGTCAAGAGACGGCTAGCGTATTCAACAGGGCGCTCTTCCGGGCCCTCCCCCTGCATTAGGACTGCCCCGAGGCAATACCCACTACTATCAGTCCTAATGATGAACGCTTGTCTTTCGTCGGCTTGACGAAGTATCGGAGCCGAAACAAGCAGCCTTTTGATGTGATCAAACGCAGCTTGTCTGTCTGTGGTCCACAGCCAAACACTGTTCTTTTTAAGAAGCGCCGTTAGCGGCCTCGCCACATCTGCGTAATTAGGAATAAAACGCCTAAACCAACTGGACGTTTGCAGAAAACACTTTAGATGCGTAATATTCTTCGGCGCTGGCATGTTGTCAATAGCGGCCGTCTTGTCAGGATCGACCTCGATTCCGCCTGGAACGATAAGATGACCCAAAAATTTCACAGAGCTGCGGACGAAGGAACTCTTCTCCCGGTTGACTCTCAATCCAAATAGCTCTAACCTGGCGAAGACGGCATTAAGGTCTTCAATGTGCTTTTCGAAGCTATCAGATAAAACAATCAGATCATCTAAATAACACAGCAGACAGACATTTTGCAGGTTAGACCTGAATCTGTCCATTAAACGCTGGAATGCAGCGCCAGAATTGCGTAGGCCCATAGGCATACGCTTAAACCTATAGGTGCCTAATGGCGTGACAAACGCAGTTTTGTCACGATCCTCTTCAGCGACATTGACCTGAAAGTACCCAGATCGCAGGTCCAAAGTGGACATAAACTTGCTAGTCTTAGCAGCGTGGAGCACATCATCCATCCGCGGCAGAGGGTAACGATCGGGTTCTGTAACCGCATTGAGTTTCCTATAATCGATGCACAATCGCGCAGCTCCATCCTTTTTACTCACCAAAACCACGTTAGCTGCCCATGGTGATTCGCACTCTTCGATCACGTCAGTGGACAGGAGCTTTTCCAGCTCTCGTTCAAGAATCGCCCTTTTCCCAGGCGACATGCGGTACGGCGGCGAAGCGATGGGTTCCTGCTTTTCACTTACCTTTATGCGGTGAGTGATGAAACTGGTAGGTTCGCCTTCCGCGGCGAAGCGATCTACCTTCTCGGCTAGTAGCTTATTAAGCTGGGCGCGCTGGCCCTCTGAGAGGTCGGCGCCCTCATCTTCCCTTAAGTTCTGGAAAGTGTCAACATAAAACATGTCCTCGTCAGTCTCCGACCGGAGTCTGTAACTTTGCACAAAATCGTAATTGCGCTCAGGTTCATCTACAAAATACCATGAACGTTGAGGTATATTCAGCACCATACCCGCGCTTTGAATAAAGTCTCCTCCAATAAGCGTCTTTGTATCCGCTCCGGGTATGACTAAAAATGTGGTAAGTATCCTACGATTTTGTAATTTAACAATAACATCGCTAGTAAACACAGTACACACTTTTGCGGTACCGTCGGCTAAACGAATAGAACGTTGCGTTTCTAAGAAACGTGCGTTACTACGCTGTAACACACGATAGAGCATCGGGCTAGCAATACAATGCGTGGCACCGGTGTCCACCATGGCGACACCTTCAAAATCCCCAATACCGATGTCGATCAAGGGTCGCTCCCGGTCAGACTCCATAAAGGCGTTGCTTATCTCAATTGGATTCATAATACATTCGCGGGAGGGTATGCGACAAGCCTTTGATGAGCTAACGTTATCGGATGAAAAAGTGTGAAATCGAAATTTATCGGGGATCGAACCCGGTTCAAAATACGATTTAGTACACGACGGTTCACTATCATTACTATTAAAGCATTTACTAGGACGACGACTATTAAAACTATCACTCGATAAAGTATAAGGACGTTCTACGTAATACGGACATCGTTTATTATAATCAAAATTTGTTACAGAATAGGGACGTTCTCCAGAATACGCCCTTTCGTTATTCGAAACCGTTCCTATGCAAGTAGGTATATTGGTCGGCGAACTCAAACGTGGTTTGTCTGTACTATAGTTATAAACATAGGCATGGTTGTTATCTATAATTGCCGAATTGAAATCTGGACCTTTAGAATAGACATTTTTATCTTTACAGTTTCCGCATTTTGACTGAATAACGCCTGCTTGTCCGCAACCATAGCAACGGACCGTGTCGTTGTTGCCGGTCGGCTGTTGTTTGGATTTTCTACAATCTTCTAGACGGTGCCCATAATTTTTACAATACGAACAACGTAGTCGTTGTGTTTTAGGAGCCGTGTTTGCACTAGAAGGGGGCGCGGGGCCAACGGAGGTTGACGGGTTCAATGACCTATCAGCTGTTTTATTATTATAAGCTTTTGTATTACTTACAGTTTTCCCGGACAATTTATACTGTACCTCCGCCATGGACTCCTCTACATCGCGTAATTTTATCGCTAAACTGTCCAGGGACACTATAGTATCGCGCGGAACACGTTTACGAATTTTATATGATAATAGGCCGTACACAATGTCCACTTGCGCGGCTTCACAAAGTTCATATGGCAGTTTAGTTAAGAGAGCCCTAACCCTACACACAAAAACTTCACTCTTCTGGTCGTCGGGTTGTTCTTGAGAGAAAATTTCACGGAATATTTTGTATCCCGGCTTCGTGGCTCCATACATCGTGCGGAGGCGGAGAACGGCTTCGTCCCAGTCGCGCACGTCTCTCTTGATGCCCTGCCACCAAATCGCTGCGTCTCCGCCCAGCAGCATGGGCAGGCCGCGCAGCGCGTGCTCGTCGCTGACGCTGGTGCATTCCTTGTAGACCAGGATAGCGTCGATGAATGCCTCTATTGCTTCATTATCCCTGGATTCTCCGTGGAATCGAGCCGTACACCTACTGAAGTCGCCGCTTTGAAGGACGGGCGTGGCTCTGCTCGCCGCAGTCGTTTCGGGCGTCGCTGGTGTAGACGATCTCAGTGGTTGGGGAAATACTGAACACAGTGTTTCGATGAGAGTCCTGTTTGTTTCTGCTTGGTTCCTTGTGAACGCTTCCATGTTCCTCGCGAATGCTTCCATCACTGACTGGTTGTGTGACGTCGACGGAGGGTGCGTTTGTGGGGGGACTCCACTGGTCAGCTCGCCCACTTCCTGCAGCTCTTCGTCTTCTACTACCTTGTCCAGTTCTGGACGATTCGCGCCTCGTCTAGGCATGGTTCGGCCACTAGTTGAGCGCCAATGTAACGGGTGAACACGTTATTTATTGAAAATTGTATTACAACATATTACAACATTTAACAACAAAACAGTATTATATGATATCAGTAGGACACTCATCGCCCAACTACTCTCTCGTTCGTTAGTCGCGAACTTTCTCGAGCGTAAGAGGCGCGCTCCTATTGGTCGGTCGCGCGGTTACCGCGCGACGCGCCTGCGCTGTACGTTTAGATGGATCTCACGGCGTAGGTACTTACTATGCGTGCGTAATATATATACCTTTCGGTGTTACAAATATTATTATTGAATATCACTATAGTGAGTTATATTTAACATAAAGCCCAAAGTTAATATGTGAGTATAGCCGATTTAATATATTATACTTGTATGTTAAATACTATTTATTTCCTATTAGTAATAAATATTCTAAGCGAAAATATAAATAAACCAATATCCACAGTTCAATGCCCGTTATTGAATTGAGTTTTGTATGACAATAATAATATAAGATCTCAACGATGTCTTACAAACTTATTTATAGTCATCACATATCAGTCAAATACCTGCAGAATACAAAAAATTGTAATATTGTACCTAAAATGTTATATTGGATTCTACTAGATTTTTTATAAAGGTAAAATATTTGTGTCCCACGAACTTATGTAGAATAACTATTTAGATAGCTTATTCTCTAGCGAATAGATTGATTTAATATAATATTATTATAAATAAACATAAAATGGTATTATATATATATATATATATATATATATATATATATATATATATATATATATAGTGTTTAACATGGTTTTCTTTCTGTGGGGGACAGATCTGACGACCAAATTATCGACCACATTTTGATATCTCATCAAACTGAAACTTTAAGTACTTCTCTGGTCCATCCGATATCCCATAAGTTACCTATCACAAATTTTCCTGTTTGTCATTGGCAATGTTAATCTGGCCATAGAATTTTCAACCATAATATCAAGAAATTATATTATATTTTTATTTCCACAGTTTGAGCTTCTTAAAAAAATATTTCCAATACAAGTATACGTATTATATGGATCTATATGACTTTTTTAATTTATAGGTAAGTAAATACGAGTTCATAATATCCTAACAAAAGGTGTCTAATAGGAACTGTTAACAACACAGCTTTAAGGCTTTTAAAGTCTAATTTATTTTCGGTCGTTTTATTTTACTATAAATACGGTATTTTCAAGTGGTTATTTTTTACGGTGGCATAAATACAAGCGAACACATCCTCATTCTTCTTTATGTTGCTTAAATTTTTATAACTTTAAATTAAATAAAAGACCTACACAACTTTCATTAACAATAATGTTATTGATAGAAGCAAGTTAAAGAACTTTTCAAATTATTAAAACTTATATAATATTTGCAACATGAAAACATAATTCTCATCTCTTTTATTTGAAAGTCGCTTAAAAATATATTATTATTACATTTACGATATTATTACAGTATATTACGTATAATAACTATACTTCATATTTTCAATTATATCAAGTAGTAATTGTACAAGTAATTATAAGAAATCGGAAAATGTTTAAACTCGTGTTGAATGAGAATATTTTAAGATTTGTTCGCATTAAGAGCTTTTGATCATTTAAGTCACCATTTGAAATATCTGAGAAAGAAAACACTCCAACCAAAATGCTTTCTTAAATAAAAAGGAAACAACATACCAATATAAAAAAAAAATATTTTTCCTTAAATCTAAGAATCGCTAGAGTTGTATGAGAAAAATCACATTTATCATCGGTAATGTCATACAAGTGAGTATTCATTGAGTTTATATTTCTTTCAAATGGTGTTAATATCAAATAAGCACTTTATTAATTTGAACTATAGCATTTTTCGCTTTAGTCTAGGGTAATAGAATGGCAAACCCGCTTGCACTAGCTACTTACGTTAACAGGATATTAATAAGGGATAGTATACGATGAAAAAAGGACTCATCGTTGACTCATCGTGATAAATTCTTCATAATTCATAAACATAAATAAAAAATAACATAAATAAATTCCCATGACAAACTATCCCTTTCCAGTCCCCACCATCCTTGTAACACCAAGTTGGTATATCGTTTGATGGTACAGAGAAGGTTCTCTGTTACCTGCTTCAATATACAATCTTCCTGCAAACATTTCAATGATCGGTACAAATTTTATTTATATTTATATCATACGTTCTCTCACGTGTCACCTGCCAAATTCATGTAATCTTATAATTGAAAATACAGTAACAATAATCTGTCCTCTTTACGAACATAAATCACGAACAATAATGGATTAGTTGGTTTGAAGCCAACTGTTCATATGTCACGCAGTTGATGTAAAGATTAAAGAAAATTGACATTTATTTTTGCTTGTACCTCCTCGTATTCCAATATACATATGTTTAGAGATCCAGCCCATAAATTTACATAGATATCGCCGTGCATACCGTTATCGTCTTATCACAAATAGGCTTTAAGGGAGTATGGAGTTACAAATACTTATATATAATCATAAGTATCTTCTCACTTTATATATGATGCTGCTTAAACTGTTAGTTGGACATTAAAATTCATTCTTAAAATACTAAATGTAGTAAAGGACAAAGCAATAAAGATGAATGAAACTCTTATAATTAGCATATATAATTCCTTACCTATGTAATAAAAACAGTGTCAGTAGATGCCTAACATCATTAAAAAAAATTTTTCATTATTACTATAGATATTTCTCTTCGTAAATTGTACTTGAAACTATATTATAGAAAAGTCATCTGTACGTACCTTTGCAAATACTCTGGTATGCTAACAAAGTCAATTCAAATACGCGCAAGGGCGATAAAAGTTAAATAATAAATCCTACAAATCTAGAACGGATCTGTAAGCAAGGAAGTTAGAAAATCCTCATAAATTACATTTATAATAACACTACCTTCTACCCGCGATGTTACCCATGTGACTAAGATATGTATAGTTAAAGATGTGCACCGAATACAATTACAAAATTCAAGTGGAATGCAGTAACATAAAGTACATATCAAATAATAATCATAAAGGTATAAAAGGCTGTCTTCTCTCTAGGGCAATCTCTTACTAATAACCTTTGGTTAATAGAGAATAGATAGCAGGAGTGAATTAATAATTTTTACATATATAATATATGTAATCTTTGTTATACAAAAATATCAAACACACGCATTATACTTACTAATCTACGTAGTATAACATATAATATATAATACATAAAAAAATATACGTAGCACACATAAGGAAATAGGACAAATCCAATGAAACATTGCAGAAGAAAGGAAAAAAGTAACTACAATGAAAGGATATGCAGTTTAGCGTGTCCCTTGAATGATACTAAGAACTAAGCACTTCATATAGAAGGTGGCAGCAAGTTCCATAGGCGTACAACCTAAACGGAAAAGGATTTGGTATAGTACAGAAACGTATGTGTAGAGGTTTTTAGCCGAAGATTATTCGTGGTACCCGAAGCATGACTTTGCACTTCACCGAGAAATATAAATCACTCTTTGAAGTAAAACGATGTGAAAGGATTAAACAGAATAGAATAAAAAAGAGAAAGTATTTATATCCTAATCACAGCACATGAGTGTGAAAATAAAAGATGTGTTCGTATTTACAAACTCCAAATATAAATTTAATACACATATTTGGAAACGCTCAAGTTTGTTAGGTTGGACTTCGATAAAATGAAACAGCTAGTAAATTCATAAAGCTACCATAATGGAGCTAATGCACTAGAACATTCTGCAGTAAAATCAGGAAATCCGAATTGTAATAGCTTGTAAACAAGTCTATTAGAATAAAGATGATCTGGTTTTTGTTATTTTGAGTGTAAATAAAAGGTCTGGATATAAATAAGCTTTTATATAGCCTTACGTTACATCGTCAATTTCTGGGCACCATACAGATTTATAGTTCTTATGTAAGTCCCAATCTATCGATTTTATCATGTGTAGTTTACCAAATCCTATGGCCAAATTTCAACATAATCTAAAGCTATCAAGTAGTTAAAAATCCGATCATGTCAAAACCGACATAGCTTGCAACTGAATTTATACAAGTAGCTTAAAATTTATTTATATCCAAACCATAAGAATAAATAAATATTAAAATTAATATTATCGATGAACGTTACGCGCGAAGTTAAGCCCTACATAAATGCTTTAAAGTTAAAACTTACACAGTCAATCCACGCGTATTAATGAGATTTAAATAGTTAAGAGAAATTTTAAAAATCATAGGTTATTAATCTTATATAATATTTATTTTTCATACTATTTATAGTTTCTCTGCCTATCAAGGAATGCTTAAATATTATTTTAATCGTCACACTATTAGTTGGACTTAAACCCCATCTGTCAATAATATCATTCTTTATGCCCGACGCAAAAAGAGAGGTCTTATAATTCAATACCAATGCCACATCATCATGTCAGTCATTAACTGCCCACTGCTGAACATAGACTTCCCCTTCTTGGGGGGCTTTGTCAGTAATTGCCCGCTTGACAGGCGGATTGACAACCGACAATGCCTCACTATTTAATAATTTAACATATAAATAATTATATTATTGTGTAAATTTGATCGATATTTGTATCAACTTTTAAAATGTAAAAAGTAGTTATTGTGACATAACGATAATAGTTGGACATATAGTATCGCGGAGTTTTTTGTAGTTATTGATATTTTCTTCAATATTGTAGAACATACTTTTGTTCTATCACCAATAATTTTCGCAGCGCACGCAACGAAAGATATTTTATAGCATTTTTTTACACCTTGAGTTACGTTACTAAAGTTTTAGTACAGATTCCTAATCTTTTCTAGCAATAAATGCCTATGTTACTCGGGATGAATGTAGCTTTCTAATAGTAAAAGAATTTTTGAAATCAGCAAAGTAGTTTTTGAGTTTATTCATTACAAACATACACACAAAAATACAAATCTTTCCTCTTTATTAATATAAGTGTAGATATATTTATATGATAATATACCAATATGTACCTATGAATTATAATAATTATATTGTATGTAGCAGTATCAGACAACATTCTTGAAATCAAA